GTTGCTGTAAGAACCACAGTAAGAACCAATACTGACTTGTGTTTCTTCGGAACACCAGAGTGCAAAAATAAAACCACACTTCCCAAATTTTTATGGTATCATACAGAATGACACAGATGGGTATAATTCATATTGTTTTGAACCTTTGGCCAAGCTTTTCTACATTCAACATAGTGATCTTCAAACCAGAACTATTCTTGTCCGACTATTCTCTATTTCTAGAGACTTATCCAGCACAGAAGTCAGTTCCACTGCTTTGTATTTCCCTTGATCCATATGAAGCATATATAAAAAAATAAACTTTGGCATTTGCAAACTTTCATTTAACAAGCATCAGCGTAGCTCTTCCAGCACCAGAATCTTTTGTAAGCACCACTTCCTTCTGATAAGCTTAAAAAGTTACCTTAGTTTGTACTGAGTAACATGTATGTACTGCCTGCAGCATTTACCTCTTCTTATACAACCCTTGCCTGCCTGGTAGTACCAGTGATACATGGTAAAGAAACAGCAAAAAAAGTTACAAGCAAAATATGAACTAAAGAGCCCCTCCTGCTTGCTCCATTGAGTCAATGTCCACACCTCTACACCCTTTCTGCGTCTTAGGCTCTGAGGCAGCATCAGGGACAAAACCTAACTCCAGGCAGATAAAGAATATTGGTGGGGTTTTTTTCTGATTGAAGCTGTAGAGGTTTCAGTAAATTCACACCTATACTGTTTTGCAGAGCAACCCAGTAACAACCTTCTACACAAAACTGTACTTATTTCCCAAAACTCTCAACCTACAGAAGGTGGGCGGCTTCCTCCTCCATGTGTGTATACACACACACACGCACACTGATTTAGCTTACCAGACACAGCTCTCCTGGTTTTGGACATACTTTGGTATTGAATTAATAGTAGATTTATATTTAGTGGAAGCAAATTAAGTGATTACATTTCAAATTTTAACTTGCAGGACTTCACTATTAAACTTTTGAGGGTGGTACTTAATCCACTTCAAACTGGTTTTGTTAGTTTAAACCAACCCTAGTTCTCCTATAATTTCTCCCACTGCTGCAGCCACTTGCACTGAACTCTCCACAGACATGCACACATGTATTCTGGCACACAGTCACAAACTCCGAAGTGAATGGAAAACTCACTACTAAATCATTTTTCCAGTCTGAGGTACTTTATTGTTCTCCATGGGATGTGTTCCAGTGGTTTGTATAGTCTGCTTTAATACTCGTTGGCAAGCCTTTTGCCTTTGTAATTCTACAGACCCATAGATTTTACTCACATCAGGAAGTCTTAAGGGCTTGTCTACAGTGAACACATTCCAGAACAGCAGCAGAACAGATCGAGAGATATGAACAAAGTTACAACACGGTAATATTCTCTGGCTTGCCGGAATAATGCCTTATATTGACAACTTAGCCCAGTATAGCTGAAAGTAGAAGTTACTTTGGAATTAGAAGTGACTTCATTTCGCGGATGACCACGAGGGGGAGTTAACAGCTATTTAAGTATAGCCGTAATAGACCATCTATCCTGCTGTGCCCATCTATTTTCCTGCCCCAACAAACCTCAGGTCTTCAACCTCCCAGCCTGAGCTAGTAGTAACATGAGCAGTGTCACTGTTAAACTGCTTGGAGATACAGATACACTGAGCATCTGCAAGCAATTAGATTCCATTGTCATGCATCTGTTCAGCTAACATACACAAAACTTCACACCACAAAGCCACATGCTTTTACTTTCCCCAAATCACCATTTGTTGTATAAACAAAACTAATCCAAATCTAAAGTAAAACTCAAGTAGCCTAAACTCAGTCTGCCAAGTTGACAGCTCCAAAAAAGACCCCAAAACAAACAAACAACAGGGAGAATGAGGGAGCAACTAGAAATTGGAGCAACTGGAAATCTGGAAATTACAAATTTTCTACTGCAGAGAATAAGAGTCCAGCACAGCTATCATCACTAGCCAGAACACCTGTAACTGTAAGAGGCTGTAAGACTGAGTTAATCTTTTTTTTCTTTCTGGTTTTAATCAGTCCAGTGTTACAGTTTCCAGCACATCATTATGAAGAGTTGATACATGAGGGAGAAATGTAAGACCACAGATCAGCTGGATTCCTGGAGGACAACCACTATGTGAGACAGTGGCTCCACATCATCCTCTCCTGGAGGATTACCATGAAGATACTGCCCCAGAAATGCCAATTTAACATCTGTCCAGACAGCAGAGCAACTGTACAGAAGCCTTCCTGCTCCAGGAGATGGAAAGCACAGCTCTTCTGGATATACAAGACTCCCCACAGTAGAACACGCCTGTAGAGCCTTGACAGCAGGACATAGAGTTATCACAGTTTTGGAGAGTGAACTTCACCTGCATGTAAGGTTTATGCCCTTAACAAACGTTTGCTATTTCTGGGAGTTAACACTCCAAATAAGTAATGGGAAGAAGTTTTGAGAGGAGATAGGAGCAGAAAACAGGACTAACATCAAGGCTCTTTCTGCACAAAATACTTGGATTTCTTGAAGACATCTCCACCATATGCCCTGTGACTGCATGATTAAGCAGCTTACTCTAAGTCAGCTAACATAAAGTGAGGAAAATATTACAAGCATTAATCTCAAAACCCAGTGTTTACACCCTAAAACCATGCCCAGTCTTGAGAACAGGCTGTGGGGAGGGGAGGCAGAAGAACAAGATGGAATTAGAAAACAAAGCCTTTAAGCATTCCTATCAAAGATCAAAAGAACAAAGTTTTAACCAACATACTATTAAGATTCTTTCTTTGTTATGAACAAGGTTTGGACCTCCAATTACAGAAAAATTCAAGCTCTTATAACACCTGAAGTCTCCCCCATGCCACAACCCACTGCCTCTTTATGGCTGCAAGGTGAAATTAAACAATACTCCAGAAATCAATATTTCCTCCTCCCCTGAAGCCACACCAAATCCCCCCTTTGCAAAAAAGCAGGACCTTTTGACAATCCTAAGGCAGCTCCCTGTTACAATCAACTAGGGACAAACAATACCAGCACCATTACCAAATGCCACATAGAATACATGCCAAAATGTATAAGGGATGTTGGTACATACCCGTCTCCCTCAGAAAAAAGGGTCCTGCAATGAACTACCATAAGTTTATCATATTAATTGCAATCTAACCACTAGCAACAGATTCAACACTAGCTATATAAGAATGGAAAGCAACTTCCTTACCCTTTCATCAGTAAAGCAGCTGTCTTAAAAATCCAGTTTGATCCAGCAGTCAATCAGCACTGCTGAATCACAAATAGAAGCAGATCAGCAGACAGACACATGAGGTAGTTTAGAAATGTCTACACAACACTAGAGTAGTGAGGTATAACAAATTAGAGGCCAGACAGTAGCAATGACAGGAGACTAAGAAGCAAATGATACAGGGTAAGGAAATCAAAACCTAATAGACACTGTTGTTCCACACAGTCACCCAGTCAGTTGGCTGAGTAGTGATCAACCATTGCAGTGGTCAGAGGTGGTTATAAGGGAGACAGGATGGGGGGGATAAAAAAAGGGAAAGCAACAAAACTTCTCACTACCACTCAGGTTTTATGAAGTATCTGTATGAGAACAGGTAAACCATGAAGCCTTTCCAGAAGACATGCAGTAGGCACAAGCTACTTGACAGTTCAGAAAAGTCAGGAGTAGCAATCTAATAAAAATGGCTCTGTGGTATCTGCTATAACAGCAGCATGACTGGAAGGCACAAATACTAACAAAAGCTGGCTCAACAGTTGCAAAGACACACCAAGTAAGAACCAGCAGCACACCTGATGAGATAAAAGTGGCAGACGTTGTAGAAAGCATTCCTGACAAACAGTGACTAGATAAGGCACTGCACAGTTTACAACTGAAGCTTATAAGCTTGCATTCCAATTTTAAAGCCCAAAATTTATCTGAGACCTGCAGCTGAATTCAGTTGCATGCATACAGGTATCTCAACATTTGATACCAGACTTTCCCATCCATACATCTACACCAGGCTGGCAAACATTATGCAAGACCAAAGCCTGTGCTGTTCCAGGCTGGCAGCTGGAGGCCAACCAGGGAATCCTGACTATCCCAAGCAACACTAAAAGAATGCTTTGGTAACTGAACCAAGCTCCTCCTCCAAGCTCAGTAAAGAACATGCAAATAAGATTTTAACAACAGTAGCCAACTCCAATACAACCTTTTAATTTTATTTATTTTTTAACCAGAAACTTAATTTTCAACTCACTTGTTTCACTCTGCACAGCACAAAGATAATAAGCTTTTCAAGATCTGTGTTAATATGTTCCCCCTCCTCTTACCACTGAAAAGCCACTATTAAAACAGGTTTAAAACTTGTTTTACAAGCCTCTCACCCAGAGAGGCTCTGGCCCTTTTGTTTCTATCAGCAAAGCCTTTCCACAAGGTGGAATATTCTCAAGAGAGCCACATGTTACATCAGTTCAAGTAAGAAAAGTGTTTGCTTTCAGCTTAAAAAACCTCCAACTTTCAGTCAGAAGTTTCAGCATCCAGTCAGAAGACAACATAAGGCAAAGCCACAATGGAGAACGGGCCAATAACAAGTTTGGGTACCTCTCTCCTTAGTACACATAAGCTGAGAGAGGAACAAAGAGCAACTTCTAAACATTATTTTTGCACTACCTAAGTTCAGATCGGCCACAATATCATAAGCCATGACCCCAGAGAATTTCAGGAACTGCCCTGTATATCAGTGTGGTGCTATACGTAATCAGCTCTGCCAAAGAGCTCTGAATAGCCACATTACTGTGATACACCTACTCCTCTTCCACTCCAACACCGGACCCAAGGTGGGGTGGGGGTGCCTTACAGCTCATAACGTTTTAAAGAAACACCTGGTCATTAAACATTATCTGCCTTGGCATTCAGTGAAACGGGCATCACAAAACATTTCTCAATGACAAAAAGGTTGTTTCACAGTGTAATATTTACATACTACACTAGGGACAAGGGAACTTACCTCCATTTGGAAAGCAGCCGTGTCCTGATCATAGTGTCCCATGATGTTTGGAAAAAAAGTCATATTGTAAGGCATTCCTGAACATCTGGAAATAGTAATTGGCTCACATGTGAACAAACTGTGCCCTCTCACCAGAGTTAGAAGTAAACTGCAAGTCACAAAGAACACAAGTACTCCCATTTTGTCAGGACCTCCAACTTCAGCGCATAGCTCTGCTTAAGAGTTAGACCAGCTTGGCACAAGGATAAAAATATACATCTTCCTCTGCTGATTCCAGCGCAAGGTAAGGACGCGGGCAACTAGGCAGACGACGGACTCCTCACTGCTGCTTTAGGCATCTCCCCATTTCGGCTGGCCCCGGTTTTATTAAAACCCCCTCCTCCTCCAGCCTGCAAGCTGCAGAAGCAGGAAGAGACAGGGCTGATCATTAACAGCAGAAACAACCCGACCGCGACCACCCGTCCGAAGGCCGAACGCGGCCTCCGCAAAGGCCGGCAGGAGAGGGCAGCTCCCGCGGGTCCCGCAGCCCCCTCCGGCTTCACACACCCCGCAGGGGCAGCAGCACGGCGCTGCCCGCGCTCCCGCCGCCGCGCCCACGGGGAGCGGTGCGCTCGGCCTCCGCTCCCGCCCGGGCCCCGCAGCCACCGCTGGCTCCCAACGCCCCGCTGTCGGCGCTCGGTTCCCAGCCCCGCCCTGGGAAGCGGTGCCCGAGGGGCCGGGCGGGACCCGACGGAGAAGTCGGCCCAGGAGCCGGGGCTCGCCGGGCGCGGCCTCGGCGCCGCATCCCCGCCACGCCCGGGCCGCGCCCCCACCGCCCCCTCACCAGGACCCGCCTCCCAGCGGATGCTTCCCCGCTGGCGGATGCCCCGGGGCGCCGAGGAGGAGCCGCCGCTCCCCGGGCCGGGCCGAGGGGTGCCGGCGCTGCCCCCTCCCAACGCACTCACCCGCACCCTGCCGGAGCGACCCCTCCCCGCCGCCTCCGCTGCGAAGGCCGCAGCCGCCCGGCGACACCGACAGAATCCGGCGGCAGGGGCGCTCGCGCGATACTTGCCGCGCGGGGCGGGGCGGCCGCACCTTTCCGTGCCGGTGTGGGCGGAGTCTGCCCGCGGCGGGGCCTCCCCCCAGGAGTGAGCGGGGGTGCGGCCGCCGCCGGCAGTGGCCTGCCGGGTAGGCGCCAGCACCGCCATGGTCTGGGTCTCGAGGCACCGTTTGGGCCTCAGCTGAGAAAGGGTCCGGGGCTGAACGCAGGGTTGCAGACGGCACAACAAAATCCTTCCTTTTCATAAAAATGATCAGTATTAACTCTGTGATGCACTGTGTAAATGCTAAGGCAATGTAAAGAATCGGGAAGTCAACGCTCCCACCTGCTGAGGCTTGTTGCTAAACAAGAGCCTAAGTCATAGCTAGCTGTGCAGCCTATTAGAATCACAAAATCAACTAGGTCGGAAAAGATCATCAAGTCCAACCTTTACCCCAGAACTGCCAAGACCACCACTAAACCATGTCACTGAGGGCCACTTCCACATGGTTTTTGCACACTTAAGGGACGGTGACCCCACCAGTGCCCTAGGCAGCCAGTTCCAATGCCTGAGCACCGACTTGGTGAAGAAATTTTTCCTCATATCCAATCTAAACCTCCCCTGGTGCAGCTTGAGGCCGTTACCTCTTGTCCTATCACTTGTTACTTGGGAGAAGAGACTGACCCCCACCCCATTGCAACCTCCTGTCAGATAGTTGTAGAGAACAATAAGTTCTTTTCTCCAGGCTAAACAACCCCAGTCCCCTCAGCCATTCCTCACCTTAGCTGTTAGCTCTCTGAGGATACTATTAAAGGTCAATGTAAAATGAGTGAATGTAATGAAGGAAAGGGAAGTGATTTGAGGTATTCGACGAGGAAAGGATGCTTTGGTGGGAAAAAAGGGAACCAAGTGTTCAGACAGAAGAGGAGCACCGTGGTGGCTCTGGCAGCTGCTGCCTTCCAGAGACCCAGCTCTAGGATGTGTGAACTGACCTCCTGCTGCACCGTCTGCTGCTGGCTGAGACCACACACACATGTGCAGTAGTGTTTAGACCTGGTCACAAACACACGCTTGAGCTGATGATACCCTACAGAAATGCTGGAGCTTACTAGGCAGAGGTGAGTGAATTTCTCTTCACAGAGCCACCCAAGGTCTCATCAGTCATGCAACTTGCTCCGCACTCCAAGACTGGAACAGGAAACACCAGATGCCGAGACATGCAAACCAGATTTAGGCATGGTTTGACAACGTTCAGGAAGCACTGCCTTTCTGTTAATGAACCCCAGGAGAGTCTGTGCAGTCAGGCACATTTACCCAGAGAGTCTGACCACAGATGGTGCAGGGTGTGAAGCTGCATGTGGTTATTCAGAGCACTACAAGAATCTAGAAGCTGTCTCTTCATGCAGATATTTTGTATATGATTTCCTGTTTTACCTTACAGAAACACGACCCCTTTCCAGATCCCTGCATGAAACCATTTTAGCGCCTCTGTGAATCATGAGGAGGATTAACGTACCTGCCACAGATCCACAAAGCTCTGCCATTTGAGCAAATGGCCTTACTTGATAGCTGGAATTAAATTTGCTGCACAGACAAGCAATAGATGTTAAATGAAATGTCTACAGGTTGTGGAAGTTAATGTGCTCTAGTGTATGACAACACTCACCTACACTGTCCTTTGTCATCCCTGCAGTTTTCATCCTCCAGCTGGCTCTTGTCTTATTCACTCTCAGTAGCTCTTCCCCTCCAAGAAATACTACGTTTTTATTTTTGTGAGCTCTGAGAGGCCCCACACTCTGCAAGTCTGGCAGTGAGAGCAGCAGGAGCAGGCAAGAGGGAGCTTCCCCACTCTGTCTGCAGAAGCAGTTCTAGGGAAGTTCTTGCTCAGCCCTTGATGAAGTTGCTGGGTTGCTCTCAGCTCCAGCAACACCATCATGCGCATTGAAACCTTGCAGGGACAGGTTGTGTTCGGTGCAGATTTACACTCCAGCAGATTTCTACTGAATTCTCTTTGCTTTCTAGTTTCATTGACTAAGTCCATGGCATTTGCATGGAAACAGCAGTAGAGCTATTAGGACTACCTATACCAAGTGAAAAGCCAATGTTTTGCAGTACATAGTCAACAGATTCTCAGACAAGCTTCTGTTATAATTTTAATATGGGAAAACCAGTATGTCTTACATGATTTTCATGAAGACTTCATACAAAATTTTGCTGAAACAACCAGACAAAAATCCAAAGTGTGGAAATTTCAGCCAAACTGCAAAAATTCATCAAAGTCACAAGCACCTGAAAATAAGCCATTGTGGGGAGTTTAGGAGCCACAGCTGTAAGCACTGCTAGTATCACACTATGTAAATATGGCCTTATATAAATTGATGACTTAGTTCCTACCACCAGAATGCATTTTCATACATAAATGAAACCTCTGAAAAACAGATATGACTAAATAACATTGCCTGTCTTCTTTAAAAGACTTGTGGTTTTCTTAGATGAAGGGAAAAGGCAGAGAAAAGGAAGGATGAGCCCTTTCTTCAGTCACTTTATTAATATACTTTCTTTGCTCACTAGTTGCCAAGCAAGTTCTTCCAGAGGCTGGTTCTCAGAGCCATGATCTAAATACATTTGTTTCTGGCTCTATAAGGAATCAGAGTGAGGAATGTGAGCACTCTCACTGGTATCTAGCAAAGCACCTTTAAGTACAATTAAGTATTTTAAGCATGTGCTCAAATAGATTGCTGATTAGGAATGCAGCTACTTAGATATGGAAGTACGTTTCTCACCTGTCACTGAAGATATTGCTAACATTTCAGTTAATGTAATATTAATTTGCTGACCTTTCTCTGGAACTGCTTCAAACAATTCTAGTTTGGCAATTTTTACTACAAAGAGTTTAAGTGATTTCAAGCCTTGTTTAAATCATAGGTCATCTTTAGATGCCTTTCAACAAATGTAGCAGAGGGGGTTTCAGCAGCTACTTGCCAAGCTCTGCTGTCTCCTACCACCCTTGCAACAGATGTGGTAGAACAGATCCTGTGCCATCCCTTCCATGCCCATGCTCTATCCAACTAGCTTAAACCTATCCTCAGCAGAAATATTGACAGCTTGCCTGGACTATGAACTGAAACACCATTTTCTCCAATTTTCTTTTTTTTTGTGGGACATCCCTCCAGGAAAGGCAAACAGCAACATGACCATGTTTACCTGCTGCAAGAACATGTTCATGCCCCACATGCTGATGCACTAGGGAGGAGGGATCTCAAATGGTTGGCAGCTGTTAGGAGGAAGCATATGTTTGGCTTTAGTGCTTGGAGTCTGCACATGAGCAGTTGTATGCTGGCTCGAGCTTTCTCCTGTTGGCATATCTAAAAGCTTCATAACTGAATTATACTGTTGTACCGAAGTTTGACTTAATGTAATTTAAATATTATAGATTTGTCAATTACATAGTTTGATGTTGGATGATTCAGTTATAAGGTTCATAGTGTTCTTATTATTCTGCATGTAAAACACATTATTCATAATTTGGTGAAATTTAAAAAGACTAAATAGCCAGTAGATGGCACCAGTAAATCCTGTTGTGAGATTTCAAAAGTGTAGTTCTTGTTTTATTCTCAACTGCATTTTTGAAATGAAAAAAGCCAAACACCCAAACTAGACAAAACAGCATTACTGATATAATTTATACTTATTAGTTTACAGGGAAAACCAGTTTACAAGTATTAGTTTACAGTCAGGGAAAATATTTAAGTTTGTAAACAGAATGTGTTTCCTAAGTCAAAACTCCACCATTTAATTGTACACATAAACTCATGAGAAAGCCTTGGTAAGAACACACACAGTAATTTCCTAGTTATTTAGAAGATGGAGTCTTTGACAAGTTAATGCTTTCCAAACACTTCTCCAATCTCATGCAGCTATATCAGCTTAAACTTTTCTTTATAATCCATTTTTTTCTTTTCCATAAAGCCTTTAAACTGTAACAGCCCCACCCCTCAACTTCCCCCCCCAACCCAAAACAACAATGAGAACATGAGAAGGAAGCACGCTGAGAAAGCCAGAATGTTGACGCATTGCCATGTGCTAACTGTATTACTGGATCCTTGGAGCCCACATCATCCTCTTCCCTGAACAAAGTCTGACCTGTTTAGACATATTATAGCTATGTGGGTTGTGGTATCCACACATAAGAAGATGTTGATTTCCTTTATGCTAGAAGGATCTCATCTTTCATTTCTCTGTAAATGACAACACTGTGCCTTCATAGCATTGCTTTAATAAAACAGTGATTATGCTAATAGTATTCCTTCCCAACAGGTTACCTCACCTAGCCTTGGATGTTAAGCATAATGTAAACTAAACAGGAAGTACGCTTGTAAAGGGTAAACTTTCCTAAGAATGATCAAGGATATTTCATTCCTTGTGGACTTTTAGCAGCCACCTTCACTCCTGATAAATCTGCAGCCCCTATTCTTGGGTGACAGTAACAGTAGCAG